GTTAACCAATGTCATAAAACAACATGTGTACTTCTGTTTCATGAGAAACTATTTGTTCTGTAAGCCTTCACCTGAAGTACAATAAAAAAAAAACAAACAAGTTTCTCCATTGCTCTCCCTCTTAATACTTGTCTACTTCTACCTTCCAAAACATATGTGGGCTTAACATATAATTTTACTAAACTTTTAGACTGTTAATCTTATTAGAGTTTTATGACATGTATGACTCTTTTTCCAGGAAAGATTCTGAGGTTCTAGGCCACTTTAGTTGACTTCAGCCAGCATCTAAAACAGTCAATCTCTGTCCTCCCACCCCACCTCCAACACACATACAGGCTCGTGTCTCACTTCAGTGCTTCTGATTGTTTTAAGATATGTTTTCTAATTATCTTAACTATTATCAAAGGCAATAGTCTACATAACCCAAGACAAATTTTATTAGTAACATAAATATACTGAGGTTTACTGATGCATCTATGATTAAAAGTCATTTATGACCATGTCAGGGAGTTCCTGGGTGGTTAAGTGCTCAACTACTAGCTGAAAGGTTGATAGTTCAAACCCACCCAGAGGTATCTTGGAAGACAGGCCCGGCAATCTGCTTCTGAGGGGTCACAGTCTTGAAAACCCTATGGAGAAGTTCTACTCTGCACACATAGGCTCGCCATGAGTTGGAATTGACTCGACGGCAACTATGAACAACATGACCATGTCAGAAGTGCACCCCATCTTAGTGATGTTTTTTACTTTTACTGACCTATAAGCCCTGTTTTCATTGTTGTCTCCCAAAACCTTCTCCAGGGAAAATGTTACAAAATTCTGAATTCTGTGACCTAAAGTTAGGGTGGCATGTAGTCTATTGTTCAAACCATTATATTTAAGAAAGCAAGGGGGCACTATCAATAATTATGCTGGGACAACAGTTATGAACCACTACTGTCCCAGGCAAACCAGCTGTATGGTCACCCTACAGGATAGAGACAGTGAGTTTTCCAGTGACATTCTCAGTAGCTCTGAAATTCTGGTCTGATTAGATAGCATGGGAAGAGTGATTCATGAGAACAGTCAGTGGATGGCCCAGTATTGGTATACATGTTTCTAGCATTAGCATGTTCACTCAATGAGTTAACCTTTAGTATCTTACGGGAAATTCCTATAATGTGTTTTAATTCAACCCTTGGGTCACACCAATTCTGACCTTAATATAATGCAGCACTTTTATTGCACTTTTCAAGTGAATTTCAAGCAGTGTTAACCTGCTATTTTGTTCTAATGACTTTAATGGCTGAAATTAGTGCCAGACAATGAGCTTGGCAGTGACAGCATAAATGCTACTGTCACATTTCCCTTTTTACTAATTTTGTATTATTTTAGCCGGTGTATAGATAACCCACAATGTTTTATTTGCAGAGCACTCTTAAATCACCAGCATTGGTATTTGACTTTTAAAGTACATCCATTACCTAATTTCTTGACACATGCGTATGTTAAGAAAGAAATTCACATTTAAATCTTAAAGGAGCTCTAACTGCGGCTTCGCAATTCTTCGTATAAACTACTGAGTTAAATAAATGGATCTTGGTTTAAGCCTGAAAGGATGTGCAGCAAAAGGAATCCTGAACAAAGAGATCATGTGAATCTGAAATAAGGTCACATTTCCATTAAATACGCAAATGATGATTGACTTTAAGGACCCTTTTGCCTTGCTCACAACTGTGTCTCCAGCACTTACAACTGTGTCTGGCATGTACTAAGTGTACATTTAATATTTGTTCAATGAATGAATAATATTCTTTGCAGTTTGCTTTAAGATATTTCTGGCATGTGCTTTTCACTTCTAAGTAAGACCTTAATACCTATTTATAATATTCTTGTAAGTGCGTGATGTGGAGGCTTGCAAATTTCTGGCTTTCCATAATCGTTGATTTAATTAATCAATAAGTTCCGTAGGCTTGTAATTTGCAGTGCTAGTATTATTTGCTTTGTTGGGAAGTTTTCCACATTCTTATTTCAGTTATACATTTACACTCCCTCTGATTTTCAGGTTTGCTCTTTGCTTCTCTTGTGCAGGGTAAGAAACCAGATAGTGTAACCAAATCCACCTTTTTTGCTCCATCCAAAGTTTTAGCTAGGGTAACGTTTCTATTAGCCTGATTTCCAAATGGAATCTAAAGTGCTATTTTAATAAAAGTGAGGTATAAAGGAAAGTTTAGTAGTTAGATCTTAGAAGATTATTTTTTCCTATGCTCAGTAGGAGCCCTGGTGGCGTAGGGGTTAAGAGACCGGCTGATAACCAAAAGGTTGGCTGTTTGAATCCACCAGCCACTCCTTGGAAACTCTGTAGGGTTCTACTCTGTTCTATAGGGTCACTATAAGTTGGAATTGACTTGACAACAACAGGTGTGTGTGTGTGTTTGCTCAATAAGTTACGTGAGAGTATTGTCTCTCCCTGGGGAGATAATTTCCAGATTGTAATATAAATTTTTTTCATAACTTTGTCATATCATTGAAAAAAAAGGTTTATTTTCTCTGGTGAGAAATCCTATTGTAAGCTTTCGGGCCTAACCTATTTTAATTGTAGGTCCTGTAAGTTTGTTGTTATTAGTTGCTGCCATGTCAATTCTGAGTCATGGCGCTCCCATGTGTGCACATTAGGACTGCTCCATAAAGTTTTCAAGGCTGTAACCTTTCAGAAGCAGATCACAAGGCCTTGCTTCCGAGGTGCCTCTGGGTAGATTCGAACTGCCAACCTCACAGCTGGTAGTTGAGCACTTAATTGTTTGTGCCACCCAGGGTGCTTTCTATAAGTGTATCACCTCTCTTATCATTTAGACAGTTTCTCAGGAATGGAGCTTAGTATGCTAGACAAAGTTTATCTTGGATGAAGCCAGGATGACCTATGTTCACTTTTTTCTTTCTCTCATGGTTTTTCACCTTCCTTACTTCTCAGGGTTTTAGTGCCCTCATTTGTCTTCATACCATAAATCAAAACATTTTCTCTAGACTGATTCTAATATTAGTAATTTTTACTTTAGTGTACATTTTAATATGTTTTTCTTCCTTCAAGTATTTGCATTTTAAACATTTTAATTTTAGTACTTATCTTTGTAAATGGAATTTTAGGCATCACTGTAGAAGGTACACTTTGCCAGGAACCACCCCAAGTTTCATAATATGCATATATGCCCCACGTACACCCATGCACTTGCGCGCGTGCATGTACGTGGGCACAGACTATGTTATCTAAGAGGAAGCCTCAACCATCTGTCTGTTATGACAGAGACTATTCTTTCATTTCATGTTCCTTAAACAATTGAATTTCTTATAAGTGACATCCGCCTTGGTTTTATCTTCTGGCCAGTGTTAGAACAGGATATATGGAAGCAAAAAGGGAATCAGATAGAATTTATGTGACTTCTTTACTGTTTGCTTTAAGTAGCTTTAGTATGAACCAAAAACATATTTATGAAATAAAAAATAACGGCGGAAGTGCTGTCATTCGTCTTGTTTTTATGCCAGCATAATAAATGATCATTGTATATTCGATTCTCACATTAGGACTATTTGCTGTAGGATGAAATGTGATATGAGAATTGTCTTGGACTTCATCCATAGGCATTTATTTACAAAAGGTTAAAAGGAACATTGGATAGTAGTTTCACCCATAAGGCAGTCCTATGGCAAAGGTGTCAGAATATAGTAAGATAATAGAGATTCACTAAAATAAAGAGATGTATGAATTTTAAGTTACAATGTAAACTGATCTCTAATAATATTTATATTTCAGGTCAGCTACTCCGGCTAAAAATGTTTCGAGAGGATCATGGGTCGTGGATGACAATGTTCTTCAGCACAATTCTTTTTCTCTTCATATTTTCTCACATATACAACACTATTCTTCTAATGGATGGGAACATGGGGTAGGTTATCTTTCCCCTTTCTACTGTGGTGAGTGTTATATTTGCAACTCATAAGAATTCAAGGAGAATTTTATAATTTGTAGTGCTCTAAATCTCCTTTATAAATATTCTTCCCCAAATAGGCATAAATCTGTGCATTTTTCTTAATTAAGACTTTTAGAGTCTTTTTCCTCCCCAAGACGCTTATAGCATATTATAGTATTTATATTGTGTTTCTTATTCTTTGGAACTTCTCTGTGAGGTAGTTTGAGCGTAGCTACTAATTTAATTATAGTGACAGCGAGCATGAGAACCAGGAAATCTTATTGACTTGCTTATATTCACACAGTTAGAAGAGCAAGGCTTAAAATGAAGGTCTCCAGTTTGCAACTCCATAGCTCTACAATACCTGGCTAAATAAAGTATTTGATACTGGTGACTTTTTTTTTTTTTTTTCTCTCTCTCTCGACATTCCTAACAGAGACACCTTTGTTATAAATGGGTCATTTTAAAAGTGGGCCACCCTGTATTAAATCCAGGGTTGTGATCTGTACTTATCAAATCACTAATCAAATTACCATGGCATGAAGATGTGCTAGCAAGTAGTTTTTTTTTTTTTTTTTTTTTAACTTTCTCTAGTTCTTTCATTATATAATGAAACACAAGAATTGGTCTTTCAGTATAATTTTCTCTTGGTTTGCTCTCAGTAAGTTCTAAGGGCAGGATATAAGGAGATTAATTTGACTTACAGCATTAAGAACTGAATTAGTGACAATAATAAACCACCTTAGATATCTGGTGTGCACTGAAGTAGTTGCTAAGAAGGGTTTTGTATCTATCCTTCCAATATTTCTGAAAGCTAGGTAATATCTTTTTCTTCTAAATATAGGCTAGGCAAGATTGTTGTCTAGTTCTATAATGTGCAATTATTACATATAGATTTTGGCTACCACTGTTCAATGCTGAGAGGGATAGCTCAATTAAAATTTTATGGTTTTCCTTCACCTTTAAAGGAGATGAATAGTAAAGGGAAAATAGATATTTCACAAGGCTTATACTTTAGTCCATATTAACAAGTGATAAACTCAAGAATTTGATTTTAGATCAAACGTCTGGACCTTAGGAAGTTATTAAAATGCTTTGTCTGTAATTGTTTCTTGGACTAGAGTAATGTTGTTAATACTGCGTCTATTTTTAAATGAGTAGTTATAGATTCTAACCTGTGGCTAGTCAGGGTATGCCTCAGACTTAGACCATTGCCTGGAATTCTGGAATGGGGGAGTTAAGGGGGCGTTACGAAACATAACTGAAGGTCCCTCTGGGAGGTATTGTACACTTCCACTCCTGGGACCAGAAGGAGAAAGGGCCCTGTCTAAAAATTACATTTTTTAGGCTGTTGCTAGAAATAATACATTAAATAATACAGGTATACCTCAGAGATATTGCGGGTCTGGTTCCAGAGCACTGCAATAAAGTGAATATCACAATTTTTTGGTTTGCCAGTGCATGTAGAAGTTATATTTGCAATATACTGTAGTCTGTTAAGTGTGCAATAGCATTATGTCTAAAAAACAATGTACATACCTTAATTAAAAATGCTTTATTGCTAAAAAATGCTAACCATCATCTGAGCCTTCAGCGAGTCGTTATCTTTTTGCTGGTGGAGGGTCTTGCCTCAATGTTGATGGCTGCTAATTGATCAGGGTGGTGGTTGCTGAAGGCTGGGGTGGTATTTTCTTAAAATAAGACTACAATGAAGTTTGCTGCATCGATTGACTCTTCCTTTCGTGAAAGATATCTCTGTAGCACGCAATGCTGTTTGATAGCATTTTACCCACAGTAGAAATTCTTTCAAAATTGGAGTCAATCCTCTCAAACCCTGCCATGCTGCCTTATCGACTAAGTTTAAGTAATATTCTAAATCCTTTGTTTTCATGTCAACAATGTTCACAGCATCTTCACCAGGAGTAGACTCCATCTCAGGAAACCGCTTTATTTGCTCATCCGTAAGCAACTCCTCATCAGTTAAAGTTTTGTCATGAGATTGCAGCAATTCAGTCACATCTTTAGGCTTCATTTCTAATTCTAGTTCTCTTGCTATTTCCACCAAATCTGCAGTTGCTTACTCCGCTGAAGTCTTGAACCCCTCAAAGTCATCTATGAGGGTTGGAATCAACTTTTTCCAAACTCCTGTTAATGTTGATACTTTGACCTCCTCCCATGAATCACAAATGTTCTTAATGGCACCTAGAATGGTGACTCCTTTCCAGAAGGTTTTCAATTCACTTTGCCCAGATCCATCAGAGGAATCACTATCTATGGCAGCTATAGCCTTATGAAATGTATTGCTTAAATAATAAGACTTGAAAATCGAAATTACTCCTTGATCCATGGGCTGCAGAATGGATGTTGTGTTAGCAGGCATGAAAACAACATTAATTTCCTTGTACAGAGTAGTGTAGTTTTAATATACATTTTCCATTGGACTTTAGAGCCCCCAAAACATCTCCGGGCATATTAAATTTTCATAAGGGCAAAACTGACCTGGGGCATAGGGTGAGGAGAGGGAGATTGATGATGAAGAGTCACAAGAAAAATTTTTTGAATAATAGAAATGGTCTATATTTTGTTGAAGTGGTCATTAAAAGAATATATATACTTGTCGAAACATATTCAACTGTACACTTAAAATAGGTACATTTGATTATATATAAATAATATCTGAGTAAAGTCTATTTAAAAACATAGATATTAAAATAAAAAATTTCATGTTGTTAGGTGCCATCAAGTCAGTTCCAATTCATAGCAACCCTATGTACAACAGGACAAAACACTGCCCAGTCCTGTGCCATCCTCACATTTGATAGATGGCTTAAAAGCAGATTAAATATAATTGAAGAGAGAATCAACATATTGGGAGATTGAATTTCATAAATGACCAAAATACAGCCCAGCAAGATAAAGTAATTGAAAATATTAAAGAGTGAATAAGAAACATGGAAGAGACAATGAAAAGTCCAATATATGTCCAATTTATATCCATAGACATAAATATCATAGTAAAACTCAGAACAACAAAGACAAAGAGGAGATCTTGAAGGTATTGAGAGAGAAAAGATTGCTTAGAAACTGAAACAAGTATACATGAATTGATCAATCACTAGGCACCAAATTAAGTGTTCACCAAACAATTGATATCTTATAGACTATATTCTCTGACCACAGTGCAATTAAGCTAGAATTCAATAAGAGAAGTATTTTAAAATCACTTGTATTTGGCATGCAGAATCTTAGAACTGAGCAATAATGAAAAATATGTATCAAAATGTGTGGGTTATAACTAAAGTGGTATTTAAAGGGAAATGTATAGCATTTAATGATTATTTTTTTAAAAAGAAATTCTAAGTATTAATGAATTAAATGTCTAATCAAGAATTTAGAAAAGGTAACTAATGGATACAAATGATATAGATAGTTTCTACAGAGACTCCCTGGATTTCATTCTTTCTTCTTAGATGGAATGGGTAGCAGCTGGATGACAGAGGTTTAAAGAGAGCATGGGAAGTGAAAAAGTGGACTAAGGATGTGCATGGAGGTGCTCTTTTTAAGCAAAGTGTTTGTGAATGGGAGCTGGAAGGGGATGTGGAGTTCAGGGGGAATGATTTTGTGTGATGTTTGAGATTTCTGACCACATTTAAGTAATGGTGGGGAGGATCCAATAGAATAAGATTTTGCTGGCGTATGTAAGGTCATCTTTTTTTTCACTATTCCCCCAAAATGACTTGATTCCATCCATGCAACTGTAGGAAGCATGATTCCTTCACCAATATTTCTGAAGGTTTCTGGTGAGGGAGGGTGTCTTAGTTATGTAGTCCTGCTATAACAGAAATACCCCAAGTGGATGGCTTTAACAAAGAGAAATTTATTCCCTCACAGTCAGGGTGTCAGCTTCAGGGCAAGGCTCTCTCTTTCTGTCAGCTCTGGAGGAAGGGCCTTTTCGTCAATCTTCCCCTGGACTAGAAGCTTCTCCACGCAGGAACCCCAGGTCCAAAGGACGCGCTCTACTCCCGGCACTGTTTTCTTGGTGGTACGAGGTCCCCTGTTCTCTGCTTGCATCCCTGTCCTTTTATCTCTTGTAAGATAAAAGGTGGTGTGGGCTACACCCTAGGGAAGCTCCTTTTACATTGGATCAGGGATGTGTACCTTAATAAGGGTGTTATACAATCCCACCCTGATCCTCTTTAACATAAAATTACAATCACAAAATGGAGGACAACCACACAACACTGGTAATCATGGCCCAGCCAAACTGATACACACATTTTTGGGGGGACATAATTCAATCCATGACAGAGAGTACTGATTTTCTTCCAACTCTTCAAATTTCCCCTCTTGGGTTCTGTTCTTGATTCCCTCTCAACATCTTTCCTCTGTTACTGCTCTCCTTTCTTCAAAGCACTTTACCCCATGTGCTGATGAATTCCCACCCACTCTGCTCCCTAAAAAACCATACATACAAGGTCTTTGTGGGTTATAGATTTTTATTAAAAGTTTGACGAGCATGGGAATTTTATTATTCAACATCAGTGTTCTTAAAGTTCCTCCTTCATCCCTTTTACAAGACTTTTCCCTTTAGTGCTGGAACCTGGCACCATTTATTGGGGCCTGTTCAAACCCTCTTACCCAAGAGTGTTCACGTTCTCCTCTCACAGTTTCCAGTTCCTACTTCTCTCTGGAGCTCCCAGTAACCTCCAGAATTCCTCTGTTTCATTATACAACAATACAGTTTGCTTTTGTCTCACTTTTTTTCCCCTTCGATTAATCTGGTGCCTTTTCTTTCATAACCAAAAACACATCAATGCATTCTCCAACATAATATAATATTATAAGCACTTATGCTCATACCAAAAGAACCAGTACCGCGACATGAATGCTGCTGCCTTCTCAGAATATGAAGGGGCCACTGTCACAGTGTTTTATTTTTGAAGAGCAACTGTAATTTTTTCTTTCACTTTACTATC